GTTTTATTCGTTGAAGTTTTTAAAAATAACAGCGACTATAGTTTCGGCGTACTGCCATCATCAGGCGACTAGAAGTGTATCACAATATAGCAAATTTGAAAACATTAAGAGCTAGTTACTTGTGATACACTTCTAGTCGCCTGATGATGGCAGTACGCCGAAACTATAGTCGCTGTTATTTTTAAAAACTTCAACGAATAAAACTATATGGGGAAGGTTTAGAGATTTTTGATAACATAATATAGTTCAAAAGTTCCACTTTTTGTAACGTTGCCTAGTCGACCATACGTATATTTGCGAAGACCTTGTTGCGGCCATTTTTGTTTTACGCATACCCTCCAAAAATCGGAACATGAAAGCGTATACGTAAATCAGCGTATGCTTAAGTTTACGTATAGTATCAAAAATTGAACCCCTGGTCCGCTGTAGCTTGCGTCTAATCATTGTGGTGTAATAAACTTCTCCTTGCGGAAATTGATTCTTGTCTTCGTACTTATGTTTCACATATCTGGTTAATTTGTCATTATGAGTGTAATCCAAGCATGAGATTATTCAATTCACTTTTTTCACAAAAATAAAGAGATATTCCCAAATTGTGAACGTTTATCTTCCAAATTTCAACGAAAGTGGTTTCGCTCTATTAATTATTGCAGTACTGCTGCTGTATTGAATACGGAGAGATCTGAGAGTGTAATATTGGTACATTTAAAATTGACAATCTTCTTATAAATATTTAAAGGAGAACAACAAGACCAATCCTCCCGTTTTCCTCATTTACGCATCTTTACTGATGACTTCAACTGCGTGACATCTACATACATAGATCTATATCAATGTGTTTGCCGTATTTAATACACCATGAACTCTTCAATTTCTAATAGGGAAATATTTGAACTGTCGATAGTTTAGAAAGTTACATAATTTAATTTACCATTTCCCACATCCATGTTATTCTCTGCGTTTGCGAGTTAGACTGTTAGACAGTTACTTTATCGATCAACCCCTGTTATAATGCGTTACTTTACTTGCCGCATTTAACAGAATTTAAAAAAAAAACTTTTGTTATTGTTCTGTATTGAACAGCACAGGCACGATCTCCGCGTATTATTTAGTACGCTCTTTGCATGAATGACAACCGTAATCCATATTTTCTTTTAAGAGCACACTTTAGAAGTTCGTCTTATTGTAATATACTCACAACATTATTAGAAACTATCGATCACTTACTGGTAAAGGATATTTAGTTTACTCGAAAACTTCAAAGTTATTTAATTTCACGGTTTTAGCAATACACGGGGACCAAAATACTGATCATATTATTTTGTAAAACCGCTTGCTATTCCCAAGTCCCTTTAACTACCTGTTTTCCAAATAGCTTGTAAAGAAAACGCCAGGAATCGTGTATGTAGCGGAACTGCCGAGTAAAGTGTACAATAGAATTTATTTAATGCCTTAAGAGTAAAGGTAAAATATTATATTATTAATTTGTAATGTACAAATCGACTGCTCCAGCGAATACTGTAGTAACTCAAATTCGCACTTTTGTGGTAAATTTCACTTGAAGTTTGTATCGACTATAAAAATTGATATAATTACGAACAATATTTTTGGTATCTTATTTTGTTGCAATTAACCACGGGATTTCAGGAATATAATGCTTTTGTTGTCAATTTTATTCCAAAGCATTTTTTGAATGAGTTACAATAGTATTCGTCGGAAAAAGCGGAATTATCACTTACCTACAACTTACAAAATTCTTTTATTATAGTTAAAGTTTCTTTATAAAAACTACAATATTGAAATACAAAAATAGTTAATATCAATTCATTCACTGTCTTGAATATCCAATTCCTCTGTTTCTGACCCTTCACATTCAGGCGCCTCTGTCGTTATTGCGGTAAGGTTTTTGTAAAATGTGTGGTACATACTAGGTATTTTATTACTATCGCATAACCATAGTAACCCCTTCAATTTCTTCGCATCTATTGGCAATGGCTTACTGTACAATTTTGGGGGAAACTTGTTAATATTGGAAGGCCTTCCTCTGCCCTTTCTGTTTTTTTGTATATGGTAGCTTTTCATTTCTTCATCAAATTCATATTTAAAAAGTACACTGCTCGGTGTTTCATACTTAAAGTGGATTTCCCTTATTTGACTCACTTTCACCGTAGTCTTTTCGTTTTCAATTTTCCACGCTACATTTTCAGCCAGCACTTTAAAATAAAAAATGTCGTCCTGTGACATCTCTGTGACGTCATAAGGTTTACCCACATACATAAACATTATGTACGTGTATTTCAGCTAAGGTCTGATGATGATAATCAGTATTAAATAATCGAAATCGATTACCTATAGGAACAGTAAAGTAAATTATTCGAAAAACTCGTTTTGATCTACATATACGTACTCAACAAATAATTAAAATTCAACAATAAAATAAGTAGGCATTTCCCATAAACTTACATTAATTGTTTCCAGATGATTGTCAGGCCATTTGATATATTCTGGCAGCATCTCCACCAAAACATCCACAATTTCATTGAACACCAAATGTGCCGAACTTTTAGCAATCCCGAAGCGAAATAAATAATTTTCATTAAACATCGAGATAAAATCAATCAGACTTATTACATTAAACGTGTTTCTTGTCATACGAAAATGTTCCTTAAACTGTTCTTCCGTGTAACGTAGTATGGTATCTTCATAATAATTGGCATTTCTGACAACATGGTCGTGGTTGTACCCAACTAATTCATAATTTAACGGGGCGCCATTTTCCATTATGACCGGGATTATCTCCTGTGCCGGCACTTCATCGAAAAAGAATAAAAATGGCTTCTAGTTTAATTGTTAGAAATAAAATCTAATGAAGTATACGTACCTTGCAAACAAAATGTGCCAAATTCTTGACAGAAGAGCTTCCTAGATCAAAAAACTCATATACAGGGTGTCCCTAAAAGGTCTGTACAACGCGCTACCAGGGGTTCTTGGTATCAAAATAGGACGATTTAACCCAACTTACCTCTATCCAAAAGTGCTTCGGTAAGGCGCTATCTACCGCCAAAGATTTAAAAAAAAAATCGTTATTTTTATTTTATCGGAAAATGGTTTTGCCGATTAAAATGAAATTCGAGATCTGTATGTCTAATGTAAAAAGGGTCTTTGTGATATCATCGTTTTGATTGTAGTTGCTATGTAGGTGGTAAAATACTGATCATCCACATCTGAAGAGGTCTAAAACTTTTTAACTACTATTTTGACGGTTCTGAATTTTTAGACACTGATAGACAGTTTACTTGCAAGCATTTTTTGTCTCTTGATGAATATCGCTATCTGTGATGGTTTACGAAATAAAAAAATTTAGGCATGATGAATGGCATGCACCATACAAGCGATTGTTCCTCAAAAAATCAGAAGATGGCTGTGAGTGGCGTAACGTTTGTTTGTTGTTTCTTAAACTTGAACAATTTACGTTTTGCTTGAAGACTTAAAATTTCATTGTTAAAATTGTAATATGGCCTTTCAATACAGTAACGCAGAGTTAACTGATATGCTATTAGTGTTTGGATACAGTCGTGGAAATGGTCGCCAATGCGTTAGGGAGTATACTCACAGGTTTCAAAATCGTCATAGCCTACTTCTTGCTTGCACTTATGGTTTTTGAGGAACAATCGCATGTATGGTGCATGCCATTCATCATGCCTAAATTTTTTTTTTTTTTCGTAAACCATCACAGATAGCGATATTCATCAAGAGACAAAAAATGCTCGCAAGTAAACTGTCTATCAGTGTCTAAACATTCAGAACCGTCAAAATAGTAGTTAAACAGTTTTAGACCTCTTCAGATGTGGATGGTCAGTATTTTACCACCTACATAGCAACTACAATCAAAACGATGATATCACAAAGACCCTTTTTACATTAGACATTCACATCCCGAATTTCATTTTAATCGGCAAAACCATTTTCCGATAAAATAAAAATAACGATTTTTTTTTAATCTTTGGCGGTAGATAGCGCCTTACCGAAGCACTTTTGGATAGAGGTAAGTTGGGTTAAATCGTCCTATTTTGATACCAAGAACCCATGGTAGCGCGTTGTACAGACCTTTTAGGGACACCCTGTATATATTACATCCTTATGTACCTATAATGTACACCACCTAAACGTTACAAAAATCAAAATTTAAAAAATAAAAAGTCACTTTTTCGCTCTTGATGTCTGCCTGTCTGTCTGAGTGACAAAGGCTCCGGAAGTACGCCACTTACAGACTTGATATTGGTGTCATTCGATCAGAAATTAATTCATGTTTGTATTCTCGTTAAGGCATAAAATGTCCATAAGTGCTATTAAAATCGAAAAAACAAATTTGAAAGTGCACTCTTCGCCTCTTGTCCACAAGCGGCTTAACGATTCTTTTTAACCCTTGTAATACCAGGCGGGGTGCAAACGCACCCCAGACATGGTTTATTTATTAGTATCGCTTTAATTTTTTGTTGTTGTAGCTATACCTCTGTATAGCTTCATATTTTTGTCTTAAAAATGTATACGTCTTTCGCTATAAAAACCGATGCACGTCATTGATTTATGAATCAATTTCAGACAAGTTTTCTATAGATTTCGCACACTTGTTTTTTTTGTACATGTTGCAGTATATGTCTGAAATTGATACACAAATCAATGATGTGCAACGGTTTCTATAGCGAAAGACGTATATATTCGGCACAACCCTGGGGGAAAAAAATGATTACAACCCATATTTAGGTCATTTTTAGTCTGGGGTGCATTTGCACCCCGCCTGGTAGTTACTGTTATACTAATATTGAGGTATGAAGGAAACCGCATCAATACATTATGCGCGCGCTTAGCACATTGCACTCCCCTTACGTCGTTGTTGGCGGTACCGTGGACAGTAATTTCACAGACTCTTCAGTTTTATTTGAGCTGTTGGCCTTATACGACTTTTTTTTATTGTGCGCGTGAATTTCTTACTTATAAAAATGAGTAGTTTTCACATTCGGGACGAAAATAATCTTACTGAAGAAGAAATGTTGTGGTTATTAGAAAACGATTGTGTGGAATATAACGCAATATTAGAAGAAGATGTAACAAGTGATATGGAAAACGAAGATCATGTTTCCGATCATGAAGAAATCGACGATGTGATAGTTGCTGATGATGACGAAGACACCAATATACCAGACGGTCCACATTATACTGCAAAAGACGGTACTCAGTGGTCTAAGATGCCTCTAAGTAAACGTGTCAGACGTTCAGAAGCAAATAAGATCGTTGCGGCCCCAGGTCTTACCCACAGTAGTTCTGAAATATCTACTATACGGGAATCATTCCTACTTTTCTTTTCTGATGCCATGCTCGATATTATTGTCATTGAAACCAATCGAAAAGCCAAGTATTTCTTTGATCAGCATAATGCAACACATCCGGGTAATACCAAAAAATTTGCCCCGACTAACCGTATAGAAATAGAAGCCTACATAGGTTTATTGATTACTCTAGGAGCATTGCAAGCTAATACGGAACCAATTGAAATGCTCTATTGTAGCGACCCCGCATATTGTCGTCCAATAATCCCTGCCTGCCTCTCGAGGAACAGATATTCTTTTATCACAAAATTTATTAGGTATGATAATTTTGAAACAAGAGAGCAAAGGAAACTTCAAGATAGACTTGCTCCGATACGAGACATTTTCGATATATTGGTATCTAACTGTAAAACTGCCCTCAACCCCAGTAGTCACATGTGCGTGGATGAACAGCTAGTTCCGTTTCGAGGAAGAGCGCCATTCCGCGTCTACATGAAGAGCAAACCAGCTAAGTACGGGATAAAGATATGGGCACTGGCAGATTGCGAATTCAACTATACGGTCAATATGCAGGTATACCTTGGTAAGATAATATAACATTGTGCTTTTACAGTAGCTTTTATTACATTGTATTACAGGTAAACAGGGCAACAAACCTGAAAAAAAGCAAGGAAAGCGAGTTGTTCTTGAACTTACAGACCATTTGCAACAAGGGTATGGAATTACCACCGACAATTTTTTTACCAGCCTTGAGTTGGCGAACAAGTTGCTGATGAAAAAATTGACACTTTGCGGGACATTGCGTAAAAATAAGGCTTTCATCCCCAGGGAATTACTACCAAGTGCATCAAAGAAGGAATATTCTTCAATGTTTGCATTCCAGAAAAACTGCGTGTTGGTGTCCTACGTCCCAAAGAAGAGTCGGGCTGTAATTCTCCTTTCCAATGAACACCAAGATGACAAAGTCAATAGTGCAGAAATGAAATACAAACCAGATATTTTACTACATTACAATAATACCAAAGGTGCAGTTGATGCCACAGATCAGATGGCACAAAAGTATACGACGCAAAGAAGAACTCTTAGGTGGCCTATGGTACTATTTTACCATATGATAGACATTGCGGCTTTGAACGCGTACAAAATTTGGACCATAAAAAATCCAAATTACGAGATTGGTCACTTAGATGCACGAAGAAAGTTCCTTCTTGCACTTGGGAAAGATTTGGCCAAAGAAAACATAATCAATCGGTACAATAAAGCCAATGGATTAAACGCTGGTCCAAAAGAGAATATCTTGAAGGTTTTTCCCGAACTACGTAAAGAAGCTGTACTACAAGAAAGGCAACCAGCAAGTCAGGGTCGATGTTACCTGTGTTCCCGGTCTCAAGATAGAAAATCTAGACAATCTTGTTTTAAATGCAACCAGTTTGTTTGCGTCCAGCATTCGGTCAAGCAAACATGTTGCAATTCATGTAAAACAAATTTCATGTAGTGTATAAAAATAAATTTTCTAGTTGTAGTTTGTGTTATTTTTTAATCCTGCACGTCATTTTATCTCAAATACTAAAAAAACCGGCGGGGTGCATTTGCACCCCGCCTGGTATCGCGCGTAAGAAAAAAAGCCTGGTATTACAAGGGTTAACATTTTTTCTCCATTTTTTGTAACAAATATCGTGTATCGTTGTACGCAGAAAAATAAGGTCTTTCGAATAACTTAATAAAAGTTTTAGGTTGCTATATTCGGAGAAAAAAGTTCGATGTCGTTGCTGCTATTTTTCGCCTAATACACATATCCAAAATTTGAACAAAATCCGTCGATCAGTTATCTCGAAAAATTTCCAACATACATACCTACACACAGAGGAAAAAAATTAATTTTTTTTTAAATTTCATTAAAATGATCTACAACGGCGACATTTGATGAAATTTTACCATATCCAAAGAAACGGTGATCGCAAGAGCCACCTAGCACGCGCTAGGAAGCTAAAAATCATAACATAACATTTTAAAATTGCAAGGATAAGTACGGATTTTTGGTACAAGGTACCTACGTAGGTATTTACTATGTAATCGTCACAGTTTGCATTAAAAGAAACGTTTAGGTATAGCTTGATCGTTTATTTTCACAAATCCTGTTGCTCGCGCTATAGGTACATAGGTATACGTGGAGTGCTTCATTCATAATTAAATTATTCGATTTATAGTAATATCATTCCTTTAGACGTAAAAAATACAATTGTAATGCATATATATCTCAAACTCATTAGTTTGTCATATAGCTTAAATTTAAACTTGCGAGGAGACACAATTCACAAATAACTCTACATATTTATTGTAGTGTACTGAAGCATTATATTTAAAGCTACCCTTAAACATTTCTTACAACAACTTTAAGTACAATGTAAAATTGTTGCCATTTTTGTGTGCAAGGTGTAATTATACAATTTTTAGTCGTACGGTGCATACTTATAACTTACTCCCATTTCGTGCGTAAACTTAAGTATATGTCGATGGTTTAAACAAATATGCATGCCTTACAAACACGTTTGTGATTTTCAGCGAGTTTAAATTACGATTAAAAAAACAGCGTCCGCTTGCAAACAGTTTGACAACTAGCAAAGCGTTCGGTAAACGTATATTTATGTAAAAGCGCAAACGGTTTGCAAACAGTGCCTAAACAGTTTGTGTTTGCAAACGTAATCAAAGCGCAAACACGTTTGGTTCTGGTGAACGCACCCAATGTAAGTAATTGGATTCTAATGTTTTCGGCATTTGGAAATATGGAAATATAAATCCCGAAAAAGTAAGGCTTACTCTTGGAACTTCGCCATGGATTATCATTAAGGCTTCGATGTTTCGATTCACGAAAATATAAAAGAAAGAACCCACCAAGTCCGGGTCCGGCTTTTACCCAGACCCTACTATGTCACCTTGGGCAACAGCTATGTAGTGCAAAACACAACAAGCTACAACTATCGCTAACGCCCTCTGTATCGAAGCCCAATGCTTAGACATGGAAATCTTCTTTTAATTACCCCAAACACACGTTCTCCAGGATTTATCGGTGATATTCGGGCCCGGTTGTACACCCATTGACTTGCAGGGTTTAAGTATGGCGTTAATATATAACGTTTGCAAGAATAGCCATTATCACAAAGAAGATATTTATTACCATACATTTCTCTTTCAAAATCCTGCTTTTAACTACTGTTAAATATGGTGCTGTCATGTACTGAGCCAGGCCATCGTGCAATGATATTTGTATTTTTAGTTTCGCAATTACACACGGCTACATTAACACAAAAGTTTGTTTCTAACTGCTCAGCATATTCTCTTCCAGGCGATTGAATTTTTATGTGTGTGCAGTCGATCGCACCGAGAACACTTGGGAAACGTTTTTAATTATTCTGCATACACTACTTAATAATATTTCTTTATTAAGGGGTAGGAAAAGGTTGGCAGCCATCAATCCCCTCTCTACAAGCTTACATAACAATAAGTGGCATTCTACACAATATATATATATATATATATATATATATATATATAATTTGTGAATGTTGAACGTATCCAACATTTCTCGTACCGTGGTCTTCGAAAATCGGAATCGCTGCTGTTTTGAAACCGAGATCATCACAATTTTCCTTTGGATTTGCCCTGTCTCTAAAAACTCTCGGCCTAGGCAAAACCAATTCATCATTGTCGCTTTCCTTGATAATGATGTATCTAACATTTTTACGTTCTGTCGTTATAATTTTGACGAATTAGAATAATTAACTGTTGTGTCAAAATTTCTCCTGTTTAGAAATTATTTGTTAGGCATTATTTGCTGTTCCCATTGGACCTTCGTGTTAAAAGTAAATGGGTTTTGATAAGACCACATGCCATTTTGTTTCTGTGATAAGACAAGTGTTTTCTAAAGTTCGACGAAAATAGTGTGTCACTTTAAGAAGAGTGAAAGTGGTGAGAAAAATTGAGAGCACGTTCTGTTATGCTCAGATACGTTGAGATTCTCTGTTTTTTACGACCGAAGAGTTATTGAAATGGTTCAATTTGGTCACTGTTCTTTGATGTTTTGAGTCTTTTCCGTTCTTCAACACTTCCCTCTTGTTTGCATACTTATTCTACCATCCACGTCTACAAACGTTACGTATGTCAAACTATTTAAACAAAGCACATTTTGGGTGCACTGACTGGAATATTTTATTTTCCCTTTTTTTACATTCGCGATTCTATGAAATTTTAGTAAACTGTACAGCGGAACTGTGCCATCTTATGTGAACTTTAATCTAAATCGTATTATAATATGTTTGCTGAACCTCTACCGCCTAATGAGAGATTTGACACTAAGCTAACTAAAAAGCAATTTACCCAATCGATAAACGGGGTTCTATGTTAATTTACATGCGGTAGTTTACGCCGCTAATATACTCGTGCCTATACTGTAAACGAAAGATCGAATCAGAATGGTAAATGTTTTGCTGTCTGATATGTTTGTGGCGAAAGCATGTCATCAGCAAAAACGTTACATGCTAACGGATACCACTAATTTCAATTTCGTCGTATGTGGCAAGACGTCATGTTGCTAATGACTGGAGGAGTTACAATCACAGGGGGCACATGTACACTTGAAACACGTTTCGCATTCTGTCAGTATGTACATTACGGTTTAAGTGTGTTGTATGGTTGTCTGACATGCATCCCTGGTTAGAATACCAAAAATAAATTCGTTAGCTGAACTTAATTATAGCAACGTTACCTACTAAAATGCTGTCATCTTACAAATTTAATCAAATATAATTTAGTTGAAAATAATTTTAGCAGGATCGTCCCGAATAATTAATTATGTTTTAGTCTTTCAATTGTAAAAATTAATCCAGCCCAACGAAAGGATTGAGATGACTTCATTAATATTCTTCAATTGTCTTCTAAATTAATATAAATCCGGTATTTTGTGACTTTACAATTTATCAAATTCCATTTTTCTAAGGCATAACGCTTTAAACATGCTTTCTTGCTTCTGTAACAGTATGCAAAGTACCCATACTTAATCTTTTTTTGCTATTGACAGCTCGCAGTTGAGTAATTATTGGCATTGACAAAGCCCGATGTGATTGACTGTACCTATGTTATTAGATTAATTAAAACCGGTTGGACGATTTACTCTTGAAAAGAATTTTTCAATTCAAATTTTCATCCATTCTTTTATGGTATTTTTTTGTATATTTATTTATTTAGTGTCCCTCTTGTTCTAGGCCCTCAACAGGCTTACGCCCAATTACAGAGTGACTCGCATATTGCTTTTTAGAGGTGCCCCTGCGGAAGGTCTTAAGTTGTTCTACACTACCCCGGTATTTACCTTACGAATTAGGAAAACTGCAAGAAAACCTAATTCGGAGTAGCCGGCAGAATGCTCGAAACTGATTGATCTAAGGAAATTCCCATCTCTGCCACAGATGAAAAATTCACCTCAACTCAGGTTCGAACACCCGAATATATATATGATACCTATATATAAGGTCAATGAAGACAACAATATGCAAGCGGTGTAGGTTTTATAATCCTCATTAATTATAATTGTGGTTGCATTAACCCATGGCAAGTGGTTGCTTTGTTATGCAGAACAAAATAGTACCAATGTATATCCCAGTGGGTTTCGTAATATAGGCCAGTCTTCAAATATTTGAGGTATACTTTTTTCGTCTGAGAATGATTTTATTCTAAGATCGTAGGTGTTACTCCAAACCCTTTGTACTTCTGGCCAAGGTTCGATGTTATTTTTTAGGTATGTATAAGGTTTAACAATAAAATTCACTTGTAGGGTAATTTACGTGAAATTATTGCGCTTATGTGTTTCGTTTCCATTATACTAAAATTAAAAATATATCTGTATTAGACCTATGGAGTGGTCCGTTACTGTTTGCTATAAAAAAAACTTCTTTGTTCATCGCAATTAATATTAATGAGAGTTTATTTGATCCCGTTTCTTATTTGAAAAGCAGTTCTTCGACTCGAAAATGTTACTTCGCGTATATTATACCACTCGTAAATAAAAAGGTATTGCTACGAATCAGGCTGTTAAAATTGTTTTGCTCGTCCCGTAATTCGTCTATTATACATATACATATAGAATTACTAGGCAACTTGTAATTTGTCATAAATCGGAAATTGTTTAAATGTTTTTCCACGACGAACTCGAAAATTAGTAGTTCTCGCTTCTTAATGTGTTTACACAAGGTTAAACTGCTAATTCTTTACTACTATTCAGGCAGATTTCACTCAATAAATGCACGCTTTGGTTCTTGAATTTCAACACGCAAAGATATCTCTCGCAACGTAGCTAAAAATGTCGACCGCGAATACACACCGATATCTATACGTGGTCGCTCGTGAAGCTAAACGAAAACCTTTTACATTTAAGTGAAATAAATCAAGAATAATAATAGTTGGCGTATCCAAATTGGTATGTGCTCGCCCGCGAAAATCAGGTTAGAAATATCGCAATTATGCGAATTCTCACACACCAATACTGCGTGCTAACTCTTTGAAAGTCTAACTTCGTCTGTCGAAAATCCCGCTACAATCCATGTTATCGCGCTTATTTCGACATACTTTCGTTTACGTTCGCTATGAAGCGGTATGTAAATTTTGTCAACGGATTTCTTTGTGAAGCCCTCCCGGAAACATACTTTTTTGATAACATATCATGAACATTAAGGGAAAGTGGTACACGGTGAAACAAAACGTTTTTTTAAGTAAAAAAATTTCATTGCAGTATCTTAAGAACATTCTTAATATTGGAAGAACACAGTTTTACTATATTTACGTAACTAAATAAAACAAAATTAAAAAAAAAACTTGAAATGTCTCACTGTGCACAGGAACCGGTTCACAATGAAACATATCGAGGGCATCAAGTCGTAGGGGCGTATAAACCAATTTGCTAATTTTACAGAAATAAGTAAAATCGTTTTAAAATTTTGTTTAATCAGGTAACTTTACGAAACTTGTAATTTGTCATAAATCGGAAAACAACCAAAACCCTATAGGTGCAATATTTGTATCACGATTTCTTTAAGGATTTTACTAAAATTAACTTACTAAATTCAATTCGTCCTGGGTATAAAGCTGGTGATCCCACCGTTCAAAATTTACGAGCCCTAAGGTACAATCCGAATGGTTCGATTGAATATAAACTTCGACACCCTGATAACTTCCAATTGTTAGCAATCAGAGTTAATAAGAAAGCATCAGTGGTTGCTATAAAGGATCTTCCAAGTATGTATAGCCAAAAGATCAAACGGGAAAAATATGAGCACCTTCAAGCATTGAAATCTACCATGGAACAGGATTATCATAGCTTCTATGATAATCTGAAATGCGTTGGTACTGAATTATTATTTTACTTATACTAGTTAGTTATACTTTGTTCATTTTCGAATCGCTTAATACATAAAATCCTAAATATTACGTGGTTTTAATAAGTTGAAGAAGACTCTATAGGTACTTAAAAAGATAAAAGCGAATTACCTATTTCTCCTTGTCCAAAGAGTCTTTTGATTTTAAACGTGATTTTTGCATAAGTCCTTTATTACATGAAAATAAAATAACGTACTTTTTTTAAAATTAATTGTATTATTAAGTGTTACACTCCAGTTACAGTTTTAAAAAAAGACCCCCACCCGTGAATGTATACCAATTTTCAAAGGTTTTTTTACTTCCTGTAAAATTTACATTTTTGGGCTTAGACACTTGACGCCTACGATATGTACTTACTGCGGTTTTAATAATGCAATATGCCGCGTTGTGCTTCTGATAACTCTACTGACACTTGACTTATGCACAGCAATTTCGTCACCAACAAGTTGCTGAAAATTTTCAGTTGCTACGAATCGAAGTGTTATTAGAAGCTGTAACTGGGCATAAAAGCACGATTTCGTTTGGTGGCTGGTTCCAGAGCGTTGCCCACAAGATGAACCAGTCGCATAAATGTGACCTTATCTAGTCGAAATCTGGACTTAAATTCTGTGTCAACATACAGAGAGAAAGTATTTTCACAATTCATCAGAAAGGTAATTTAAAACTTGACTTAAAACAAAACTTTGCCTTAATAACGTGACCATCACGTT